GTAAGAACTATTTTTTATTGCCGAACTTTTTATCTGCATTAACTATCCAAATAAAAATAATTACATACGCAATACCACTTAGAGCATATACCCACACAATCACTAATTAACATGGCAATTAGCAAGTACTCGTTAAAAAAACCTTTAAACTTACTGGAAACCCATAAATATTTAACAAATCTTGCAATAATCTCTCAATCAAAAATTCAAACGTTCCAATTAAAATACAACAACTGTCTTTCAAAAGTTTAATTTGTTGTCCATAAAATTAATTACGCGATTCATAAAATCAATTGATTGACTTATGGTACTTCAAAACTGAAGAAGATTCTTGCTGTTTTTTCATGTATAACCTTAGAACTTCAAAGATGTATACTTCAGTTGGAAGTTATTAGGCCATTTTTTAAATCTTAATTGGTTTTTGCATAAACTTGTATTTGCATGAACAAAAAGATTCTACTTCAGTTTTTATTCTTAATATCAACATAAATTTTAAGCAAATAATTCACATGACTTCACTTTATTACTTACACTTTATTAATATAGCAAAACTTTTGAGTTGTTTGCACATTTACAGTTCATTGACCACATGACCTCACCGCCCGTATTTATCCCATGACTTAATTTATCATGTGACCTCATTGATCACATGACTTCTTTTGTAAAATGTCTTTAAATAACTAGTAAGCAATACTTATTAGCAGCATTTCTTATGCACAGCATAGGTTCTTTCCAAATTGTGAAACAAAAACACAGTTTGTTGCAATATTTTTGACAATTCTTTATTTTGCTGCAGAAAAACATAAGAAACAGAAAATGGCCACTTTTGAATATTTGTTCTGTCTTGCCTAAGAAATGCTATGTGACAATAAATGTGATATCAAGCTTCCTCAATTCTAAAATCTCTGTAAATACAATCTGTAACACATTTTTCCCAATTTCATCATAACATGTCATCATAATATACTGAGAAAATTGGGAAAATGCCTAACATGTAACAACTATCCCTGTCAAGTGTTTTAACAGTCAGTGGCATTTATATGTGACCTATTGGTGACAAAGGCTCACCCTCTTCACCCACCCACCCTGCCACAACTAACAAGACCTAAAAAATAAAATTTGTGCTACAGCAATGTAAACCAGATAATTCAATTGATTTATCCTAAACTCACAGCAATGTTTAAATTATGATTTCACAAATTTTATATACAAGTTTACAATATACAATATGATCACAATTTACAACAATCAATTAATCATATTTCCCTGTTTCATCACGTATAACATAGAGGACATAAAACAATTTATAAGTGTATTATAAACTCTGTCTGGAGATTAAACGACTGATTTAAAACAAGTGTTTTCATAATACATCAATATTTGATCTCTTTTAAAGCTCCTTTTCCTTTTAAACTTCCGAGACTTAAAAAAAGTATTTCCCCCCGCTTTTTGAAATTGATTGCACAATTGAGCGAAGAGGTTTATTTTGAATACCTTTGAAATTGAGAAATTTTAGCATCTAGCTCAATCAACCAAATGAAAATTGAGAAAATTTAATAAAAAAAAATATTCCCTTTTGTTCAAACGCTGATACACTTTTAATAAATGATGTTTTTCATAAAAAGCTTAAAGATGTGTTAATCTTCACACTATTTGGGAATTTGCGGAGATTGAATAAACAGTTGTTGAATAGGATTTACTCCGGAATGAAGAATATTTTGGGTTTTCCAGCTTATCCATATGTACCATCAAACTTTTACAGTTAAAGCTTTGAAAATAAGAGCAACAGGTTGACTGATCTTTTATGACAGGTAGTGCACCACAAAGCTATAACAGTAAAATTTTGTTTGTAGCCAGAAATAAGCTTGGAAAAACGACCACTTTTGCTGAGATCCGGGTAACAACTTAAGTAGCCATATAAAAAACCTTCTTTTTTTTGCCATTATCTCAATACTTCACATTTCACCAGAAATGTTTTTTGACAGGGCCTGAATATCGTTTTATGATAAATCAGTTGAAAATAACAATTTTACCCTTCATTTGCTAAAATTACTCGACAACCTGTCTGCCGCAAAACCTAAATCTTTTAAACAGGCTAAATATAGATTTATTTGACTAATATAGACATTACAATATATAAATCTTTTATTATTCCGTCATAGCGTTTTTTTCTTCTATAAAATATGCAGGACATCTTGTGAGATAAGTGGAAAAAAAAATTGTCTGTAACATCCAAGATTTATGTGTCGTTCTGGAAGCAAAATACACTTTCACCTCCGACACCGGTATGCCTAAAAATAGCTTTAGAAATTTAACAGTACTGCTACTTCAAGTAAAATATTTCACTACAACTTGTCAAGTTATCAAATATTTCACTACTAGATGGACTTATCTTTATCAACTTTTTATTTCTATGGGGTAATAACCCTTTGATTTTGATATAGACAAGCAGGTATTATGTCAACAAAAGGTTAAATCATAAAAGTACCGATTCATCCAATCCATGAAGAATGCATGACAAAAAGGCCATAAAGGCTGTTAACCCGAGTATACATTATTGTTTTGGCTTTTCGCAGAAAACAGGTTGTTTCAAGAAATTCCTATTTTTTTAGCTCTTGGGTCATGGCCACTTTATATCACCTGTATCGCCGGGACAATCCCAAAGGTGTTAAATGTTACATTATCATGGAATCTGCTAATATGACAATTATAAACATGGCCTTATAAAAAGCATTAAATTCAAAACCACAGCTATTTAAAATGAAGGTGGAAGTGCCTTTTTTCCTCCCACAGTGTAAAAGTCACATGACTTTAAACATGTCACATGACTCATCACATGACTAAAACACGACCATATATGGAAAACATCTATGCTGTAAAAATACAGGGAAGTAAAAACAACAAGCCACAAGCGGCCTAGAGACGAAACATGAAAACCACAAACATTTTATCCAATGTTTACAAATAGTCACATGATCTTAACTTTATTAGAAGTCAATATTAAAGCATCTTTTTCACATATTTCAGGTGAAAACATTTTGTGTGAATTTTTCCCCAAGTTATGACTTATGATACCTAAAATGCATTCACATGGGTTTACAAATTTGACATTCTACATAAACCTGACACCAAAAAGAAAACAAAACAAAAGAGTAATATAATATTAATTGTATAAAACATTTTGCAATATGCATATGTATTTATGCTTCAAAACAGCAGTTGGAATTTTCAAAACACATTTTTTTCCTGATGAAATTGTTCATCGGTCACAGGGCCGTTCTCTATATAAGAGCATTCTCTATTTAATTGCCATTCTCTATATAAGCGTTATTCTCTTTGTTAGGAGCAGGCCTTAAAAATCTGTAGAAAAATACTTGCAAAATTTATACTGTTACTTTCAGTTTTTTATTACCCCTCACTATGCATCAATGATACTTCATACTGTACTGTCTTTCATCAAATTGCATGTAATGAAGAGAAAAAAACAACAACATCTGTTTAATAAGAATTTTCAAAGTTCAAAGTTAAAATATAAACTTATATTTCACTTGTGGTATACCAAATCACATTGACTGATTTTCCTTGACATTTCAATCTTCTCAGTGAAATATAACCCTTCCATATAAACAAAAAAAAGTAATCACACACTCTAATAGTTAAGAATTGTTTTTGTACGATCTTAAAGTCTCACAGGCAATGTGAAGGTCATATTACAATTTTAGAACTTTCTGGAGGAGGAAGATCTCAGGTGTCCACTAGTGTAATAATAATATCAGGTACGAACAGATAGAGCTGCAGCTATTTTGTCAGCTAGCGCAGTTATTTTGTCATCTAATTTGAGCTATCGATCAATCCTGTAAAGTTTCATTGAAACTGCATTAGTCGTATAAAAATAGTCCAGACAAATTTCAAAATTAAAATCATGAAAGGGCCAAAACTCTGACAAAAATCAATGAACCAAAAAATGTTGATGAGATGCACAACTAGACATGATATTGATCAACTTAAGTTTTTTGATAAAACTGCACCAGTAGTTTCTGAGCAGTAGCCAGACAAACTTCTGCGAAGCTGGCAACACAAAAAAAAAAACCTTTTGTATTCAAGGGGAATAACTCAGCCAAAAAATCATTCAAGCCATAAAAAATTGTGTATTATGCACAAGTACATGACCTATCGATCAATCCTCTAAAATTTCATTGAAATTGCATTAGAGGTATAAGAGGAGTAGTCCAGACAAACTTTATTAACACCCTTTTCATTCAAGGGCTATAATTGGGCCAAAAATCATTCAAGCAAAAAACCCTTGTAATATGCGCAAGTAGTTGACCTACCAATCAATCCAGTTTCATTGAATTTTCATCAGTGGTATAAGAAGAGTAGACTGAACAAATATTAAAGAATAAAAAATAATTATAGGGCCATAACTCTAACAAAATTGAATGAATATAAAAAAGCCGATGATATGCACAACTAGACTTAGTACTGATCATTCCTGTAAAGTTTTGATGAAATTGCACCAGTAGTTTTTCAGAAGTAGTCCGGACAAGCTTTTGTGCATCTGGCAATACACAAAAAAACACCTTTTTATTCAAGGGCCATAACTCGGCCAAAAATCATTCAACCGTAAAACCTGTGCAATATTTGTAAGGAATTCAGAGCTACAGATCAATCCTGTTAAGTTTCATTGAAATTGCATTAGTGGTATAAGAGGAGAAGTCCAATAAAAATTATTAAAGGGCCATCATTGAAAAATCATTGAACTGGAAAATGCTGACGATATGCACAACTAAACTTGGTACTGATCATTCCTAGGATGAAATTTGTAGTTCAGTAGTTTATGAGGAGTAGTCCAGACAAGTTTTGTGAAGAACTGACGGAAGGACAGACAGACGACGGAGAAGTAGAAGCGACACAAAAATGAAAAATGATAAATCGATTTGTCCATATTGAAATATGAGCAAGCTCATTTTAGATATTTCGGATGATAATGGTTAAATTACCTAAACTCTTCAATTCTGCTTGCTCTTTTCTTGTCCTTGACCTTGAATCAGTTCTGTCGGAATACCAGAAACCACGATCGTCTTTCTTCTCATACAAGAAATACCAACAACTTCTTTGACACTTGCTTATAAACTGGGATAATCTTTTATCCTACAAAGCCTCAGAAACAGTATCTAAATATTTTTATACTTTCTTTTTTTCTCTCTCTTTGCACTGCTTTACTGTATATTAACAATACAGTTTTTGTTGGTGTTGCTTTTTATTAAACAAGTAAAAATTCAGCAAAATTCTGCAAAATTTGCATTTATTCTTCACTTTACATGCTTCGTGAGTTTTTGTTTTCCATGATCTTAATGGGAAATTCTATTAAGATAACAAGTCTTTGTTTACGAATTTGTTTCTTCACACCTATTTTTGATAAGTCTTCAACTCCTATTTATTTATAAATATCGTAGAATCCGAATTTCAAATCTAAGAAAATTGATTTTCAATTTTGAGAGCTTTCACCAGACCACCTGTTATTAACTGCTTTTGCTCCTTTTTTCTTTCTTTGGCTTCTTTTTTTTCTACTTTCCTGAAGTTATCTGCAATTAGATGCTGTACATTTATTTATCAACAGATTTCCTGATTGAATAAATATTTGTTTACACTTTTACCACTTGTGTTTAATCAAATTCCAAATAAATGTTAGGTCTTTAGTTTCATAAAGTAAATGCTATTGCCCTTGTAAAAACTGGCTTGCAAAAGTTTTAACCACAAAATTAGCAAAAAGGTGCAATCCTGATGTATGGAAAGCCTTTGTCGACAATTTTTTTCTATTTTAAAATTACTCAGCTTTGCTCCTGTAAAATTTGCTTAAATTGAGTTACAACCATTTTGCGCTAAGCCGCGAAGTTGTTCTTGCCATTCAATCTTTTAAAGCTTTATAAATAATTTTATTTATATATTAATATGCTACTCAGAATTTTAACAGACCTTGTCAAGTGTCCTTGTGTTTTTAAATCCGAAGTATAGCTGTTTGGCTTTTGATTACGTCGGTCTGGGAGATGTTGATTAAACTGATGATTTCTTTTCCTGTCCGAAGATTATGTAACAAATGAAAGATGTCTAGAAAAAAACTGAAGATGTAATCAAACACAATATCTCCGACTGCTGAGAATGTACGATGCTGTCGACAGTTGCTATCCAAGCTCCATGACGACACTACGTTAGACTGGTTCCTGGGACGAAATAATTAAGATCGCAAAATGGATGGGTATGCATTGAGTCCAGTCAACAGTAAATATCTTTTAAACTGAAAATAGAAAAAAGATAACAAAACTGTTAATATTATATCATACAAAGTGCAAGAATCTTCTCCTTATACAGTATACACCGGTAACAATACCCAGAGGTAATTAATTATGCACGTTTTATCATGCCCAGACCTAGACGATAAACTTTGCAAAAAAATTTATTTGCGTTTGATCACTTTACCTTTTATAATATTGATATGTGTTTTATTATCATTATATTATTCAACAACTATATGGATGTATTTTTATTGGTATTTAAAGTGCCCATGGAAAAAAATCAGAAAGTTGTATATTCTGTTTATTTGGTTTTACGGCACACCAACACGGTATACTCAGTTTGGTCATATGGAGCTGGACCAGGAAATATTTTGGGCTAACCTCAGGTGTGTCAAACTTAAGCACAAGGTAACAGATGCAAAAGCTCCAGTAATTTGAACCCATTTAATAGTCTGTTACCATCACAAGCTTAGTAACAACTATTATGCCCCGAAAAAGTTTAAAGGTTTGATAATTAGGAAGGATTGAGTCTTTAATGGTGTATGGTGCCTTTTTGTGGTGTTGGGTGCCTTTCTGCTTAATTTATTTTCATTTATTTTATTAATGCTGTTTCTATCAATTAAAGAAATTTGATAAACTATTATATATATTTCATTGTGGCCGGGAGGTTAAAAATTGCTAATACTGAATCATTTCATCATCTTAATGCAGTAACAAGTTAACTTCTATTGAATTGTATAAGGAGTTAACACATTAATGCACTAAGGTGACAACATAACCTATGCCCAATAATACATATTGCCTCATACTGTCACCTAAAAATAGCACAGTTCTATAAATAGCAACCTTAATAGACAAACATTATGTGCGACCCTAACATATCCATCCGCAAATTTATAAACAATCAACATTTCAAATGTTAATATTGTATATTAAAATGCCAAACGGTGGTGCGTTACGAAGTTCATGGGAAAAAAGGTATAAATAGAAATATCAACAGCAACAGCAAAAAAAACAACCCTAACATTCTTTCACTGACTATTAAATATGTTGATACACAAACAGATGTATAATTGTATACCTTTGGGCTTTTTCTAAAGTGATTCCAATGTATCAAGAACATGCAATAAGTGCACAGAGTTTTCCCTCTCTAAAACATAATGCTATTTTTGTTATCTACTGCAATAACCCAACAAAACAAAACATGCCGATAATCGCACATTGTCATGTATAGAAAAATTCTTTGACTTTCTGATGTGATTCCATTTATGCAACAGTGAATAGTAACTTTAACCACTGCCTATCTTCCCCTCGGGAAGGCCGGATAGCAGGGGAGGGACTGAGGATTGTAGGAGTCACTGGACGGGAATAGTAGAGAAAGGGGGGGATAGTGTTTTTATTTTGGCATAACAATGTCCAAATAGCAATTTTGTGATTTTAATGTTTGACTGACTAGGCTGCTGGTTGGAGCCTTTTCCAAGGGTTAGAAACTTAAAAAGTCAGAGACCCCATTATTACTATTACTTACTATTGTTACAAATGACCAGTGCATAAAGGTCAAGGGAGAAAATTTCATAACAATCCTTTCCAAACCTCATTTACCCCAAAAAATTGATTTTCGTTATAAAATTCACTGACTTTTATTTTTTCTTTTTTTCAATATTGGGTCACAGAAAAAACTAAAATTTTCCCAAAATTTTTATCCCAAAATTTAAAATTTTTCTTTTAAAACTAAAAGGGAAAAAGGGCCCACTTTAAAAAAATTTTAATGTTTTTGAGAAAATTACAAAAATTTTAAAAAACCCCAAAATATAACACTTAAACCCAAATCATTCCTTCAAAAACAAAGTGGTAAGAAAAAAAATTTTTTAAACTTTTTTTAAATTTGGGTTCCAATGTTTAAGCAAGAATTTTTTGACTGCTACCAAATGTTTTCCCTTTTGACTTTATTACTTAAAGTGCAGTAAATTCTTAATTTCACAACAGCCTGAACGAATAATAAATAAACAACTGCAGACACTTGTTCCAGTTTGTATTTGGGCCAAACAGCTGAATTGCATGTAAACTATTTTTCAGTCATTCAATTTACATTAATTTAACCACTTGTGTTTGTTAGACAATGTACATGCATAAAAAACTTATTTGAAGTGTCCTTCACATGTAAGTTCAATAGTTAAACAATGTACCAGTATTTTTAACAATTGTTACTTTTGTCACAGACCTTGACTTGTTGTTATATCAGTGACCTTGATTTGTTGTCATATCTTTGACCTTGACAAGTCACATTGATCTGTGACAAATCTGTGACCTTGACAAAATATTGTCATATCTTTAACCTTGATTTGTTGTCACATCTTCAATCTTGATTTGTTGCATTATCTGTGACCTTCACATGTGATATCTGTGACCTTGACTTGTTGTCAAATCTGTGACCATGACTTGTCAAATCTGTGCCCTTGACTTGTTGTCATATATGTATCCTTGACCTTTAGTCATTTGACCTTCAGCACTTTTTTCTTTAATCGATCATTTTGTTTTAAAAAAAAATATTTGGGAAAAATTCTTTTGTCTTCTGATATAAAATGCAAATTTAAATTCAAACTACTAAATACTTCTGCCATATTTCTCACAATATATGAGCTTGACTATGGCCTTGACCTTAGTAGTCATTCTTCAATGAAGCTTTAAGGTCAATCAGGCTGTTCCTTTTGGTGACCTTGACCTTAATTGTCTCACAATTATAACATAACTTCAATGTATATATACTAGCTGTGAGTTACATTTCAATAAAATATTCATGCTCACGTCTAGATTAAACTAATTTATGTGCACTGATAAAAACTGGAATTCTTATTAAACATAAATAACAAAGTTAATGTGTACTGAGGAGGCCATGAGTTTTAACAATAATAATAAAGCTTGTATCAAGTTAAAACAAAAGTGACTGACAATACTTAAGAGTCAAAATTAAATATTTCAGTTTGTTACTCTTTTTTTAAATTTATTTTTTGTTTGTTGGGTTTTACATTGCACCAACACAGTATAGGTTATATGTTGAGTTCCAAGCTTTACTGGTAGAGGAAGACCTCAGGTGCCCTTCTGTATATATTTTAAGGCACATTAACTGGACCCCGAGTAGAACCACATATGTTTTAACTCTCCAAATGAAAGAATCCAAAGACCCTGTTGGGATTCCAACCCACAGCGGTTAGGGGCATGCGTTTTGAAATCTACGACCTAAACCACTCGGTCACTGAAGCCACTCACTATCAAATAATTTAACTCAAACATTAAGACATTAAATGCACTTATTTGTCATATATAATCATGTATAAGGAAACTACACTCATAACATTTCCTGTTTATATTTATTGAACAATGCTTCAAGTTCTTGTTAAGTAATTGTACTCATTTATATATATATAATATTTTTTGTTTATAGTAGGGTTTTGAATTACATCCACACTATTAAGCCATTATGGTATGACTTAAAACTAACTTTCCTGGAAGAGAAAGACCTCAGGTAAACTAAAGTCATTCATTGCAATTACAATCACTGTAGATAAAGTGGACCCTCCAATATTCTGTAAAGTAGCTGCATAGTTTTCCTCACATGAGGGAATTCTAAGTCCCTGAAAGGCTTCTAACTAACAGTATTGAGGTGGGGGTGGGCAAAAGTCTATGACCTTGATGATACTCAATTAATTGAAAATGTAAACCTAATGTAATAAACTCAAATTATTTGACTGCATTTTAAAAAGGTACAGCAACATTTTCAAGGAAACAAATTGTAAAATAGATGGAATCTTAATTTATGATCCCGTGGTAGATTTTGACAAGTTCTAAATAATTCTTGTGAATAGTAATTTTTTATATAAGTACATTAAGCTATAAAGGTTAAATCACCTTATTTGAATACTTGACAATACCTTTGTAGACAGGCTAATTAAGAACAACTTTTAAATTTTTTTCATAAAAAAAATATATCACAAATCTGTAAGCATTGTGTTTTAAACATAAAACCATTTGACATACATTTTATATTGTGATATAAAAGATGACATCTTGATTTTCAAATCAAGAACAGCTGTAGCAACCTTTACTCTAACATAATCAATTCTTTAAGCCATCTCTCCCTACAAATATGTAAAAAGTTATTGTTTTTTTTTTTTCTTAAATAAAGCGACATACTTCAAAATACGTTAATATCCTCTCCTGGCGTTTTAATTAAAAATATCCAGATTGTACTTCAATACAATGATGGAAGGAAGTAGGAGTAATATCACAACGTCCTGACCGCAATATCTTAAAGTAAGTTCGACTACGTTAGATCAACGATTATAGCATAAATACCGATAGCGGGACGAAAAATTATCAACAAACAATTTGTAAATGTTATCATCACTAAGGTATAAGTTGATGATATTCTGCTACATGTCCTTATTAAATTATTTATACATGATATTAAAGCTGCATGCCTCTAGATGTCAGAGACAAAATATTTCAAAAAAATTAAAATTGAGAAAAATGTTTTAAGAGTTTAAGAGGAGTAAAAAGGGTCAAGATTCAACTAATAATTCACGATTTATGAGTGATTAATGACTGATTTTGCAGTACATGTATTTGTCACCATATTCCTACTGGTTTACTAATGCAGTTTAAGGGCTATTTTTGCATATTTTGACACCTTTTTTTGATAATTGATAATACATGGATTGCAAATGTTTAAATGTCATTTGCAATGTGTAAATTAGTTCCTTTGTCCTTTGTTCACTACACAATATTTTACTTTTAAATTCATTTTCAAAATTTTCATAAAAATTAGCATGAATCTGGATGCATGTCACTTTAAAGAAGCTCCGTTGCAGTCAAAAAGCCTAGAAACATAAATTCTTTAATTCTTACATTGATCAAGTAAAGCACTTTAAAGCTGCACCCCTCCAGATGAGCAAAAATATTTTGATAATATCAAACCTGAGAAAAATGTACTAAGATTTTCAGA